TGAGTGTGTCATCTGTTTCCATTAGGTCCCAGATTGACGTGTCTTCCTTTGGCATGTATGTGCAGTCTGGTTTTGCTGGATTGATATTCCTGGTTGCTCGGTGAACCTCAATTTATTTCCCCCTCCAAACATTGCTTAGGTTCAAGATGTTTGCTGATTGTTCCAAAGCCTGAATTTCTCAATTCTAGTCTCTTTCAAACTAACCATCCCTCCCTCCCTCTTTCCCTCCCTCCCTCTTTGCCTCCCTCCCTCTTTGCCTCCCTCCCTCCCTTCCTTCCTTCCTTCCTAGCAATTCTGCATATAAATACTAGAGTCAGACTGCCTTGGTTAAAGTTCCAGCTCCTCTGCGTACTGATTATGTGACCTTACCTCTCTAGCCTCTGGTTTTCTCATCTGTAAAATGGGGATGCTGCCTGGGTTTTGATGCGAATTGAAGGAGATCTTACGATGATGTCTGCAGCTGGAGGCTCCTCTCTCTCTGTTGACTGTGATTATTCCTATGTCCAGGCCACGCTGTAGCCTGCAGTTTCTTAACTTAGGTTTCCCAGGTCTGTCTTCCTTGTCCTTCTGGCCCGTAGATGACTCCTTCCTCAGCACTATCCATGATCTTTAGGTGACCTGGGGATTCCTGGTCTTTAAAGAAATCCTTCATTTCCATGGGCCAAGTATAGTCAAAGAACACACTCTTACCTAATTCTTGTAGTTGAGTTTGCTGATTCCTCCCAGTTTCTGGTAAAGAGTAACAAAAAGGAGCTTTGAATTATTTTTAGTTTCTCCTATGAAGTAGGGGATATTCAGAATGCCTTGGAGGGAGGCATAAAGAGGCCAGGGAATCTTTTTTTTTTTTTTTTTTTTTAACAATACGGGCCCAGCAGGAGGGAGAATTTGATACCAGTTCTAGCAGGCTGGGAGAAAAGAAAAGTACAAAGTGCTTTACACATGAAGACTGTGTAAGTATTTTGTGGTTTCTGCAGTGGATTCGGTCAGGATTGTAGAGGAAGCAGTTGAGACCAACAGTTAGCTCGGAGATTTAGGAAGATCTGTGGCTATAAATTCTCCATCACGTGTCTGATCCATTGACGATTTTTAAGTGTTGGTTGTATGATTTTTCACCCCTAAGCTCCTGAGAATTGTTAAGAACAGGATTTAGGAAGGAGGTGTGTGCCTGAAATTCACCAAGAAAGAGTGGAGGAAGCAGTTATACCCCATCCACAGCCGAACGCATTTTCTTTTTCTTTTTTCTTTTTTTTTTTTTTGCATTACGCGGGCCTCTCACTGTTGGGGCCTCTCCCGTTGCGGAGCACAGGCTCCGGACGCGCAGGCTCAGCGGCCATGGCTCACGGGCCCAGCCGCTCCGCGGCATGTGGGATCCTCCCGGACCGGGGCACGAACCCGTGTCCCCTGCATCGGCAGGCGGACTCTCAACCACTGCGCCACCAGGGAAGCCCTGAGCATTTTCTTGATGCTGTTTATTTCATATTTTTATGTTCTCAAGAGTCTCCCAAAATAGTAATTTGTGTGCGTTTGTCTTCCCATCTAATTTTGCTTTAACAATAGTTGGAAGAACATAACCAGATGCTTTCTTTAAAAAAAAAAAAAAAGAAATTGACATGTTGACATCAAAATTAATACTACTCTCCAAAAAGTCACTTTTTCAGTTGAGTTAGTAATGCAGTTGGCAGACCCACCTCTTAAATTCCGGGACCACACGGTGGGTGGGTGGGTGGGAGGCTGGACCCTGACCTGGCCTCAGGGAAATCAGCCAGCTAAGCTTCTTGAAGTTCCCTGGAGAAGCATGCTCTAAGCCAGTTTTCTTATTTAAGCAATTAAACTTTAATTACCCAAGTAAGAGATGAATCCATTCTCCTTTTTAAAAAACTTAATACATCATAGATGAGGCTAAAGTTCCCTTGGACCACCACTCTTTTTTTTTTTTAACATCTTTATTGGAGTATAATTGCTTTACAATGGTGTATTAGTTTCTGCTTTATAGCAAAGTGAATCAGTTATACATATACATATTTTCCCATATCTCTTCCCTCTTGCATCTCCCTCCCTCCCACCCTCCCTATCCCACCCCTCCAGGCGGTCACAGAGCAGGGAGCTGATCTCCCTGTGCTATGTGGCTGCTTCCCACTAGCTATCTATTTTACGTTTTACGTCACTTTGTCCCAGCTTACCCTTCCCCCTCCCCATGTCCTCGAGTCCATTCTCCAGTAGGTCTGATGTGGACCACCACTCTTAATCATGATGCTGACCCTCTTTACTGGAGGTTCCAGGTTTGGCGGTCTGTCTTTCCTGAGCTTGTACTTTGCATTTTCCTACGTGCATATATACACATAGAAGGTAAGTAACATTGTTGTGTGTTTTTCTCACAGACCATTTTCTCCTTGATTACTCACAGCCAGGACTTGTGGGAGAGAAGAACTCCTTATTACAGCTGAGTTTGGGAATTTGAGACCTTCTTCTCTCTGCTGCATTTCCTTTTGCAGAAACCAAAGCTTCAATTTTTACACCCTGTGCCCTTTGCCCCTTCCTACCTTACCTTTTCCTGTTTGTGGATCGTTTTGCCTTTATTTGAAATGTCAGTACTGTTTGCCATGCCTTCTGGGGGCAGCTTGCCCATAGTCGAGGTAGGTAGGCAGCGAATCATGTGATCTACACCTTCCACAGCCATGATGAATCAGTTACGGTGAGCACTTGACCTTCAAGGTCATAATGTAGAGTTAGGGCTGGCCGCCATCTTGGGTCACATGCAAGATGAGTAAGTGGATGCAACGGCCTGAGTGAGGCAGTGCGGTCACCTCTGTTCTTGGTTTTTTGGTTCTCATGCCTGTGTCACCAGGCTAATCTCTGGTGCCTAAACTTGGATTCCATAACCTTTTCTTTTCTTTTTTTCTTAGTTGAGTTAAATTGAGTGAGTTTCTGTTACGGGAATCCAAAAGAGTTTTTACTTTGTATTGTCTAATCAGGTAATTAAACTCTTTGAGCCTATAGTCCCCGTGTGCCTTTCAAAGTACAGAATGCTGCCTATTACACTGTAAGTATTCTGTAAACAGGTGTTTCTCGATAATGGGGATTTTATGGAGTGAGAATTATCTTGACCTGTAGATTCGGGTTGTACTTTGTTTCACTGGGGGAGAGAGGCCATGTGGCAGTAATAGAAATCATTCATTTGTTCATCCAAAGACATTGCTTCCAGAGAACAGAAAATGAAAAGTAAGGCAAGGCCCAGTTTCTGACCTTGGGAGGCTCCCTGTCTCGCAGGCGAGATAGCCACGGACAGCAGATTCATTAGAGTTTGATTGGTGAGTGTAGCCCAAACAAAATGTTCCCTCCCTACATCTGCTGTGATTGTTGTTCCTTTTTGCAAAATCCAATAACTCTGGCCAACGGTGTAAATACCAGCACTGCCGCTAGCCCAGGCCTACCCACGGATCTGTGATTAGGACGCCGTCTCCTGGTGATGGAGGAAGTGTCCCTTACCTTTACCCCCAACTAATTCTAATGTAGAATTCCTCCGTTCTGCACTATCATTGTTCACTTCAAACGAATCACTGACACTTGCTCGTTCTATGCTATTAGTCATGTCTGAAGTTCAGGATTGGTTCCCATTTGTCTCTGTTGCATGGGTAGGACACTTTACACAATGCTGGAAATGTCTTTCAGTCCCCTTTCCCAGATATCACGAGTTGAAATATGTTCAAATCAAAGGATTTTCCCTTCCTCTTGTTCTCCTGTCAGACGGAGGACCAGGTGGCATCCTTGCTACCATCCCCTGCATCCCAATTCAAAAACTTACCTTGTTTCCCATGGGGAAGGTCCAAGCCTCTGTCACTGATTAATGAATTTATTGAATGAACTTTTTTTTTTTTTTTTTTTTTGCGCTGTACGCGGGCCTCTCACTGTTGTGGCCTCTCCCGTTATGGAGCACAGGCTCCGGACGCACAGGCTCAGTAGCCATGGCTCACGGGCCCAGCCGCTCCGCGGCATGTGGGATCTTCCCAGACCGGGGCACGAACCCGCGTCCCCTGCATCGGCAGGCGGACTCTCAACCACTGTGCCACCAGGGAAGCCCTGAATGAACTATTATTAATTACTGAAAGATGAATTTGTAATTTAACATATATTGCTGAGTATCCACCATGGGCCATGCCTCAGGAGAGGTCCTGGGGACATTGCAGAATAAAGTCAACCCAGTCAGCGCCTGTCCTCTGGAGCTTGGTGTCCAGTGACAAAAACCACTGGGAATTAGCAAGTAATATGAGGGCAAATCACAAAGGGCCAATGGATCTGGAGTGTCTAAAAACACACCACAAGGTCGCACTGAAGCGAGAGTGCTGTACGAGTGAATGAGGGTGCAGAAGGAGGGGAAAGCGTTTGGATTCAGGGGATAATGTGTCCAAAGGCCCCAAGCTGGGAGGCACAGCCTAAATAACTTGGTGGCCGCACCTGGAAGGCTCAGGAAATGAGAACAACTATGCTTCCAATCGTCACCTTTCAGAAAACAAATGCTCTCCTTTAACCAGAATAACTGGCTGGTGGGTGAGAAGCCCATGATCAAAACAAAAGCCTCAGTTGTCACTGAACTGGAAGCTGTTTTATTGACGTCAAGATATTTAAAAATATGAGTGACGGGCTTCCCTGGTGGCGCAGCGGTTGAGAGTCCGCCTGCCGATGCAGGGGACGTGGGTTCGTGCCCCGGTCTGGGAAGATCCCACATGCCGCGGAGCGGCTGGGCCCGTGAGCCATGGCCGCTGAGCCTGCGCGTCCGTAGCCTGTGCTCCACAACGGGAGAGGCCACAACAGTGAGAGGCCCACATACCGCAAAAAAACAAACAAACAAACAAACAAAAAAAAATATATATATATATATATATATGTGATGATTCTCAAACAGCCCCTCCTCCCTCCCCTGTCCTCTTCTCCCTCCCCGTCATCAGAACTTCTCACAACCCTGAGCTTTCCAGGGGGTCTTCTCAATAAAGAAGAGATACTGAGGCCTGAAGGGTCCTGGTTTATTTTGTGAACCTTTTGCCTCCCTGTCCGGGTGAAGACAGAAATTGCAAAACTCCCAAAGAGCAAGATGTAGGGGAAAATAAGCAGAATTTTCAGTCAAGTTGGAAAACTGCTGCTGTTAGCTGAGGCTGTTTCTCTTTGCTTTGATTTGTGACTGTTTCTTCATCATCATCACCATCATCATCACTGTAGTAGTAACAATTAACGCTTAATAGTACCTCAGTGCCAGGCATCGTGCTAAGAAATGCACATGTATCATCTTATTTAATCCTAGCAAAACCCCATTCAGATGGGAACTATTAGGTTGATCAGTGTGAAACTGTCAATATTCAACCATTTCTTGACCTGCAAAAATGATCATTTCGTATGTTCGTATGGTTGAACCAGAGCTTTGCAGAAACTGTCCATGTTTTCATAATTGGGGAATGGCTGAGCTGAGATGCGTACCCGGCTATGTGTTGTACCAAAGTGACTGTGTCCTTTGGCCTGACTTGAGGGCGGGAGGGAAGGAAAGATTAAATACCATAAAGGTTCTATATTTTCCCCCCCCTGTCCTAGTTTACTGCTCTGTGTGTCTCGTGGGTTGAGAGAGGAGAGAAAAGTCAGAAGATGCTGAGGTCTGAACATATTCCAGCAATCCTTACCCTTTCCACTCTGCTGCCCCGTTCCCACCCTGACTCCATCGAAAACTGGTTTTCCCCACAAAGGGAATCATTGGCACACGCTACCTCCAAGCCCAGGGGAGTGGTGACCGCAAGCACAGCCAGACCCAGGTCCCCGAACAAAGCTGAGAAAAATCTGTCTCTGCACCTCTCCACTCTCCTTCCCACTATCTGTTCCAGGTCCACAGCCCACTGCCTAATATCCCCACCAGAGAGAGAAGGAGGAAGGAGGGACGGGGTGGGGAATGCGACTTGCTCAGTACTTCCAATAAAATCCTAGCAAAGATTCCCATCAGCCTGGACAGGTAGTGTGCCCATGCCTGGATTAGCAGTGATCCCGGCTGTATCTTGCTGAGGGTGTGTAAAGCGTTCTTTACATGCATCATCTTAATGCTTCCTCATAACAACTCTACAGAGGTTGGGGGGGAGGATATTATTATCATCCCATTTTACAGACGGAAAGACTGAGGCACAGAAGTGCTTAGGTAAGTGGCCCAAGGTTGCCCAGCTAGTAGACTCTGGCCCCAGCATATCATGTACCTCTCTGACCCACGTCATGGGCTGCACCAGTGGGGAGCTGAGGCTCAGATGCCCAGCCCTAGAGTAGGGAGCAGGGGTGCAGCATCACCTGTGTGGGTCCAGGCCCACCTCAGTCACCTGAACTGAGGGATGGGAGAAGATGATTCCCCAAAGGAAACCTGGGTGCTCTTAACCGGAGGAAGAGGGGCTGGGTGCGGGCAGGAAACCACAACTGCCCTCCAAAGTGAGACTCTAGCAAAGTTTTTGACAGAGAGGGTATTTTTCTCTCCAGTCTGATGTTGGACCCCCATTTCAAAGAACAGTAGGCTATAAAAGGGCAAGGGAAGGAAGTATTCATTAAAAGGTCCCTGCGGGCTCTGAGGTCAGAAAGAACAAAGAAAATCGTAGTGAGGGAGGCTCGCAGCCTGGTCTAAACTTCAGGGGCTCTGGGGCAGGACAGAGGTTCAGCCCGAGGACCTTGGACAGGGATGGAACGTCTCTAACTGCATCTTCCTTGTTTGTCAAATGGCGATAAAATACCCTCTCGGGTTTCTCGACAGGATTAGGTGTCCTAATACATGACAATTCCTTAGCCCTGTGCTTGGCGTGTGGCTCATTTTCAATAAATAGTACTGTCTGGAGTTAATGTCGTTGCTAAGACTATTTAGATATGAGCGTCCTTGTGATCCTTCCTCTTAGGCCCAGGGTCTCATTTGCTCCTCTCAAATCTTTGGTTCCTTTTTTAGAATCACAGGTTCAAGGACTTTGTTTAGTACCTACAACCCTAGAAGTCCTGGTGGTACTTTTGCAGAACTTAAGTTGTTTTTCCTTTGCGGGGGAGGGGCAGCGCGGCTGAGTCAGCAGGGCCTCCTCTGCTCGGCTTCATCTGTGTCTGTCGGATGCTGGAGAAACAAGAGCCCACGTAGTCCTTTGGTCCACAGTGATCACATGGCAGTGTCCTCTAGCGCTCCCACTGGCCTTCTGTGGGCATCTCGTGAGAGGCTTCACGATCCAAGCCCAGTGGCCTCTGGCAGCCATTCTGGGCTCAGCTTCTAGAACCTGCTTGTTCTATCTTGCCTTCTCTTGGGATCCTGCCTCTCGTCTCTCTGGCTTGACACTGTAGACTTCCCGAGTGTCCTGACTGATACAGATCAGTCAGGTGTCTTTTTGTTGCAAACAACAGAAACCCAATTGAAACGGACTTAAACAATTAAAGTAAGTGAAAAGTCAGGACACACAGCAGGATTCAGGGACTCCAACGATATTATCACATTTATGTCTCCAACTCTTGCCTTTGCTCTCTTTTCTGGTGGCTTCATTCAGGCAGACGGGTCCCATCAGGTGGTAAAGCGGCCACCAGGGAAGGTGGCTTACACCACGTGATTGCACAAAGGCTCCCAGTTCGGCACCCTTCCTGCGTGCCTACCCTCAGCCGGTGACTGCATCCACCGCCGATGTTGGGCGTGACCATGTAACCGCTTCTGGCCAAAAGCATGTGCGTGGAAATGACAGTGTGCCAGTTTCGAGCCTCGCCCTTAAGAAGAATTGCCTGCTCTTACGCTTCTGGAATCAGCGTGAGAGTATGCCCCAGGTAGCCTGCTGGTCCTGGAGGGAAAAAAGACATTTAGAGCAGAGCTGCCCCACCGACCACAGATGTGAGCCAGAGGCAGAAGCGTGCCAGCGAATCCACAGAGCCGTCAGTGTGACAGCAGTGCTTACTGTGCCCCTGAGCTGTGGGAGGGTCTGTGATGTAGCCTCGTGGCCATAGGTGAGGGATGCACAAGCTATTCTCCCAACCACCGCTCCCAGAAGAGAACTTTTCCTTCCTGATGGTTCCAACAAAAATCCCAAGATTGATTTCAGTTGGCCAGACTTAGGTCTCTTCCTAGAGCTGGGGTGAGGGGGAAAGAGAAGAATCTAGAACCAAGACATAATTGCTGAAAGTGAAGAAGCAGTGATCTCCCACAGGAAACTCACGCTGCTCTTACCAGGAGAAGGTAGAAATGCTGAGCAGGCAGAGTGACTGACTCTCAATACCGCATCCCTGAAGAGGACGTAGAAACCTGTACCCTTGGCTCCGTGTTCAGCCAGGAACCAGGCTTGTTCATGTCTACACCCATCGGTGTAGGGTGGAGCTCAACTGGAGCTAAGAACCAGTCATCAATTGGCCAGGTAGGGAGGCCCAGGACCCAGTGTTTGATGAGCCACCCAAGTTAACATGACCTTGTCCCTAACTTCCATCTCTTTCCAGGCTGGAATGGGTTAGGTGGCTTCAGCCAACTGGCAGGTTACTACTTGGCAACTTGCCCTCCTTCCGCGCCACGCCAGCTCCACTTGGAGGTGAAAAGTAGTGGCTGGAATAATTGCTGGGTCCACACCTGGACCTGATCGAGAGCCGTTCTTTCTTTCCAGCCCCAGTCCTCAGTTGCACTCTTGGGGCTTTCATCTCTGGTGCAGTTCGCGCCCTGCTGCCTCTCTGTCTTTGAGAGAGAAGTAAACTGAATTGGAAGCATCACATGCAATAAATATAACCCCCTTGCCCTTTTTCATGGGGTCATTCAACTTCTTGCTGAATATCATTTAAAATGAAGTTGAATTAAAAACTCAAGTGGCTGTATTTTGCCTGCTTCCTCCAAATCCCACCTTCTCTCTTGACCTTTTCCCTGCTCCGTTTAGCGGCTGCTATCTTTAAGGAATGACTTTTGGCTCCAAGATATTCATGGGGAACTTTTGATGAACAGCACACTGGGAAAGGACACATTTCTGTCTCATTCTGGCAGTATCACACCCCATAGCTGCACGACAGCCTGTGCTTTCTCCAGGGCTTCTGTCAGGGAGAAACACTTAGAGATGTAAAGAGAAGGCTACCTTTTCTCTCTTCCTCAGGGGTCACCCATCACACTCCTCTCCCCACCCTCCCTTAAATGCCACATCTCCCTGTGGGGCTGGGAGAGAATGTTGGAAGAAGGCCTGGGTGAGGGAAGGCAAACACTGGTCCATGTATTCGCTCCAATTTCACCATTAGGGATGAGACAATAGCTCTTGTGAACACGAGCAGGCAGTGTTCAATGCAGCGTTCTTCCCCTCCTCAATGCAGCTTTGATCCGGCCAGGGCTACCCAGAAGGAATTTCAGTGTAACTGGGGCAGCCCAACCTGGGAACCACGTCTCATTCTGTGTCCCTCTCGTGATTTGGGAGGTTATTAGGACCGAGCTTGGACCATTCCATGAACGTGGAGTGCTGCCATCCCACCAGCAGCTCCGCACACCAGGCTGATCGCATTTAGCACATAGCCTTGCTCTAGGTACAGTGGCAGGTGCCAGTTATTAAACTGTCGTCTCTCAGCCTCAAAGTCACCACTGTTTGGTGGCCGGAACTGTCCTTTCTCCCAGCCACCTGGTGCCATGCTAGGTTCTGCCACTAGGGGGTGCCAGAGGGGGATTGCAAAACTGGAGGGCAGAGAAGGGACTTTGCTTCTAGTTGCCGTGGGCTTCCTTCTGGCAGAGCCAACTGTCTCTAGCTTTTTTCAACACTCCCAGTGCCAGCCTCTTCATCATGTCTCTGCCCCATGGTTTACAAAACTCTCCTACTTTTAAAACAACCTCTGGGTTTTTCAAACAATCCCGCCTCTCTGTGTACAATTTCACTCACAACAAAGAAGAGAAACATAAACAGCTGGTCCAGTGAGGGAGGGGTCTCTTCCTGCATAAAGATCCAGTTTCCTCCCGGGGTGGGGGCGGGGCGGGGCGGGGGGTGGGGGGTGGATACAGCTAAGAAGATAAAAAAATGACCTTTCACCTCCGGGAACAGTAATGTAAGATTAATCTGAGGCTTTGAAACTAATGAGTTGGCTTGTCCTGGTGCGGCACCCCGTGAATAACACGGCGTTTGCAGAGCCGGCAACCCAGTGATCTTTTTCCTGGGGCTGGGGAGAAAGGAGGCATAAGAAAGAAACTCATTTTTAAAAACAAACCTCAGAGGAGAGAGATCCCCGTCAAGCTGGTATTAGAGGAAGAAAAAAAACCAAAAAAACAAAAAACAGGGAGAGTGTGCGAATTACACGTACCTTTAATCTGCTTAGCTTTTCACTGTCGGCCGGCTGAAGGGCTCACCCAGGCAAGAGTATTGTGCGGTAGTTAAATACAGAAACGTGGAGTGCATCCCTCGGGGTCTAGGCCTGATGTGTGGCAGTCTAGCTGTGTGATCTTGGACATGTTTTTCCACTGCGTTTCAGGGAGGTTTGGATTAGAGAGTGCATGGAAAGCGTGTATGTTCAGGCCAGGAATCTGGTTATTTTTGCATTTTTGATGATGATTGAGAGAGGCAGGAACAACTTGAGGGTGCTTTCTCCACGCACTGGGAAGGCTGAGTTTTTTGCTCTGCCAAAAGGAAGTGTCTGAGAGCAGAAGACCAAAGCAGAACCAGGCTGATGTGAACCATGGGGAAACTGGTTTCCGCACCACCCAAGAAAGAACCGTCTCACAGTCTAGCTGACCGACAACGGGCATGGCTGACAGAGGGGAGGCAACGAGCGCCCCATCCTTGGAAGTAATCAAGCAGGAGCTCTTTCCACTATATTAAAGGATGGGTTGGATTATTTCTAAAGATCCTTCTCCCTCTTCACATTCCGGATCTTCTGCTTGTTAAATGTGTTGCCTGGGGTCTCAGAGCCTGGGTTGCCTTATCTGTGAATCAGGCTGATGGTGCTACTGGCCTCCCTCTTACAATCTCTCTCCCTTTTTTCTTCATGCCTTCCCTTCAACACAATGAGGACCATGAAGGTAGACACTGTGCTAGGCTCTGCGGATACCAAAAGGAAGTAGATGGTATATAGACACTGACTTGGAAAAACTCAAGCATATAGTGAGGGAGACAGATGAACAGAACATTATAAAGCAATTCCACAGATGCACTGAGAGAGCTACGTCCTGAGTATTCTGGAAGCACAGGGGAGGGGCATCTAACTCAGCCAGGATGAGGTGGGGAAGGGGCATCAGAGAATGTTTCCTGGAGGAGATGCTGTAGGAATTGGATGCTGGGAGTGTATGCTTTGGAAGCAGAGTAAACACTGTGATCAAGGCCCTGGGGTCAGAAACAGTGTGACGTACAGGGAACTGTACCAAAGGCAGTGCCGGTGGGATGCAAAACATCAGATGAGTGTGAGGGGAGACGAGATGAAGAGAGAGGGACTAGATGACGGATGCCCTTGTCTTCATGCTGAGGAATGTGAACTTGGATCATGTAAATGATGAACTGTCATTGGCTGGTTTAAATCGGCGTGTTCAGGTTTCTGTTTTAGAGCGATCTCCTGGGAGCCTATGTGGAAGAGAAATTAGGAATCAACAAAGCTGGACCATCAGTTGGCCGACTTTTGAACCCTGGAAGTCATCTAAGCCAGAAGTGGCAATGCCATGAACCAGGCCTCTCATGGAGTTGCAGCAAGGATGCCATGGTGGGCTGCTCAGGGAAGCTCCTAGTAAAACATGAACTGCTTCCCAAATGTACAAGATCCCTATAACTATGATCTCTCTATAAAACTTTGGTTTGGGGGGGCCATCATATAAATTGAGTCCACCCATCACTTACCACGCAGTGGCAATAAAAGCCGTACATGTCATCCAAACCAGTATAAATGGTACTTGTGCTTAACAGGAGCCTTTAAAAAGGTAATGAAACCACTGGCTTGAGAAATAATTTTGCAGATAATTCTGGGATACAAAGTTTTCCATTCCAAGACTGAATATTGGTGCTGCTGGGAAGGACGGGGGAGAAAAGCACAAGATTAGATTTCACACAGACAAACGAAGAGGGCAGACCATGGTCTTTGAATGAAACTTCTGATGGATTTGGCACTGGAGGCACGAGAGGGCACTGGAGCTGGGCCCAGATGTCTCAGATTTGCTGAACTGCTTTTGCAGACAGTTGGACCTTTACCAGGATATATTGTATCTTGCAGACATGCCCTGGAATGCCTCATCTCAGGGAAGGCGAGTGTGGTGTCTGCTTCTCGTGCTGTTTATGGCAGAGCTGAAAACTGTCTTTGAAATTAACGATAGATGTGCATAAATCTTCTTCAGTTACCTAGCAACTCATACGAGACAGCGCAGGGGTTCACAGGGCTGGGAGGAGGTGAACCTGTTTTAGGAATACCTGGGAGCATCTTGGTGATACTCGGGGATTGCTGGGAGGGAAAGAAAGAAACACGACTAATTAAATGTTTGCATTTCTTTCTTTCTCTTTTATTTCTCATAAAAATAGAATCAGATAACAAAACCTTTTCCTTAATCCCTGAGGTTTCTAGCAAAGTGAGGGTTTACGAAGACTAGACAATTTGCGAGCCCTCTTCCAGAGCTAAATTTCTGTTTGTAAACTAGCTGTGTGACCTCAGGTGTAAAATAATAGATCTGATTAGGGAAATTGTAAAGTTTCACTCATTTTTCCAGGATGTACGGGGTGATAGCGTTTTTAGATTTCAGTTTTGTTGAATCACAGATATGTGTCCTGAGTCAAAGTGGATTTTTTAAAAGGAAGAGGTGTTGAAATAGTGAAGTCATGAGGTATGTGACTTAACACACACACACACATGTTCTCTGTGTGTATGTATATATATATATGTGTGTATTTTATTTATAAAAATTAGTTTATACGTTAAGCCTTGGGTTACAAATTCAATACAGGGCCTGGCAGGTGACACGGATGAGTTCTGTGCCCAAGGACCATAGTGAGCCAGACATCTGGGCAGTTGCTAGGTGGCCCGGCTGAACACGACCATAAGAGAATAGGACCCGGCACTGCCAGATCTTCTGATTCTTCAAAAAAGGCAGAACTCCAGAATCCATGTAGCACCTCCTATTTTTAAAATATTGACAACCAATTTGAAGTTTTAAAAAGCATTGTGTGGGCTAAACAAAGCAAGTCTGCCTTAAAGCAAAAAGCTCTGAGCACATAGGTCTCTTTGTAAAAATCGTATGGTTGCTCATGACCCACTTTATGTGCTGGGATGGAGATGAGCTCGCCCAGGCCACGGGCTAATAGCGTTCATGCAGTGCTGCTACATCCTGTGCTCGGTGATTTTTCACATTTGTCATGTTCAGTGTCCGCCCGGAGGTGGGTGTTACTTATCACAGGAGTTAGGATCTTTATTTTCAATA